CCAAACCAGCAGGCTGTGGGGGGACAACCAACCTGCCAGGGGGGGTAGAGAAAGGACGCCCAAACAACTGAACCAGCAGGCTGTGTAAGGCGACCCAGCCCAGCAGGGGTGGGGCCTTTTGGGGGCAACCCAGCCCGGCGGGGGGGGCAAGTTGGGGGCCACCAAGGCTGTAGGGGGGGCATTTGGGAATGCCAAGGCCGGCAGGGGGGGCAATGGGGGGGCACCCAGGCCCGGCAGGGTGGCAGTTAGGGGTGACCAAGCTGGCATGGGGGGGGCAGTTAGGGGTGGCCAGGCCAGCAGGCAAGTAAGCAGTTAGGAGCCAGCGGTCCTAGATTGTGAGAAGGGATGTCCGCTGCCGGGTTTAGGCCTGATCCCAGGGATCGGGCCTAACCCGGCAGTCAGACATCCCCTGAGGGGTCCTGGATTGGAGAGGGTGAAGGCTGGGCTGAGGGGACCTCCCTCCCCCATGCATAAATTTCATGCTCCGGGCCTCTAGTAAACTATATGCTATTTTGTAAGTTCTCTAACTGGCAAGCTGTGCTTCTTAGGCAACTCACTTAACCTTCTCTATGTTGCTCTATCATTTATTAAAAAAGTAGAATAACAGTGCCTATACTTTATTGAGTTGACTATATGCAAGGCACTATCCTAGGCACATCATTTATAGATTAGCTTTTAAATTTAGTCTATACCATAATTTTGCAAAGAATATATTAGCCCTATTTTTCAGTTAAATAAGATTGACATCAAGGTGGCTAAAAGAATAAGTACTTGAAAATGTGTATGTGACTACAAATCTAGCTCTTTCCATTATAAGTATTTTACATTGAGGATATTGAGCCAGATGGTTTCTAGTCAAGAGCCCCTAGGAGTTCTCAAAGATGGTAAAAGAGACCTTTAAGTTATTCTTTGTATTTCAAGAAACCTAAGGAAGAGCATCCATTTTTTCAAGAGAAGGCTACAAGACTAACCCAAACTGCCAATTTTCTTTCTTTGGCCCAAATTAAGTTAATTTATATTAGCCATTCTATGATTTGCTTAATTGAAATAGGAAAAGAAACAATTACTTAATAAACATATTTTGTAAATAACTACAATATGTTAGCACACAAAGTTCCTGGCACAGAAGCTTCCCAAGCAGATTCCAGTTTTTAGCTGATCCTGTGGCATCCGGCCAAGGCCAGAACACACAGCGGAAACAAGACAAACGCAGTTCCCCTCCCTGGGAGCTTGTCTCCAGAAGAGGGACACCAGGAAGGGGCTCCACGTCAGGGTGAGACGTGCTGGGAGAGGGCAGGTACGTGCATGGTCGGCACACACAGGGGCGCCTCATGGCTTCCTCCAGGAAGAGGCATCAAAAGTGGGGCCTGTCAGTGAGTTTACCAGCTGAGGAAGGAAGTGAGCAGGAAAGAGGCAAAGGAGGAATTTCCAGGGAGCCAGAGAGAATGTAGAGTAGTAAATAGTTGGGATTTTGAGAGCAGTTTCTAGTGGCCCAGAGAGGGCCAGGGCCAAGGTGAGAGAGGAGAGAATGGCAAGACAGGAGGCTGGAGTGGGAAAAGGGGCCAGGTCACAAAGAGCCTTGAGGACCCAGCGATGGACTTTATCCCAGAGACAGCTGAGGTTTTAAGAAGTGGTGTAATTGGCTTTATTTCAGAAGGGTCACTCAAGTTACTGTTATGAAAATAGGTTGAAGGTGGCCAGACTAGTGGGAAGGCCTCCTCAGATGAGCAACAGTGAAATTTGATTCAAGGTTGAAACAATGGGGCTGGCCAATCAATACGCCATCTAAGGGGCAGAATTGCCACCATTGGCTTCTAAGTTAGATATACATTAGAGAGCCTGCAGCATAGAGAGACACTCACGGAAGCCCAGAGAGACTGAGATGAATCAGGAACAACAAAGAGGACCTGGGTCAGATGCCTCAGGGACTCTAACATACGAGGATGGACAAAGAAACAGTAGCCACAAAGGTGATGCAGAGGAGAGGGCAGAAGGTCCCCAGGAGGGAGAAGCCTCATGATGGCAAGGGAAGGACATTTTTCACAAAGGAATGGTCAACAATGTCAAATGCAGCCACCAGCATAAGAAATGCTGGGGTCATGTGAGTACAGACAAATATCCATGTGTTTGAAACAACAGAATCACTAGGGACCCAGAGGAGAGCAGATTTGATGGACAGGTGAGGGCAAAAGTCAGACTCCTTGTGACTGAGAAATAACTGGGAAGTAAGAATATGGAAACAGAGAACATCACCACTTTTTGGAGAAATGGCTATAAAGGGAATGAGAGACATGGGGCAGTATCTAGTCTAGAAGCAGAGTGAAGAAGCATTTGTGGCCCAGCTGGCGTGGCTCAGTGGTTGAGTATGGAACTATGAAACAGGAGGTCACAGTTCAATTCCAGGTCAGGGCCCATGCCCAGGTTGTGAGCTTCATCCCCAGTAGGGGGCGTGCAGGAGACAGCTAATCAATGATTCTTTCTCATCATTGATGCTTCTATCTCTCTCTCCCTCTCCCTGCCTCTCTGAAGTCAATAACAGAATATTCTTTAAAAAGAAGCATTTGTGTATTTTTATTATTATTATTGCCTGTTTTATGATGGTGGAGACTCGCTTAATGCCAAAGGGAAAGAGAAGGCCAAGGAGGAGAGATTGAAGGCCAGAGAGGGATTATTTACTGAGTGAAACCCCGAGGTGGGAGGGGTAAGGACCCACATCATATGTGGAGACATTGGTTGTCTTTCCACAGTGAGGGACCCCTCTTCCACATATCAGGACAGAAGGAGAAAATAGGAGTTTTGGGGTTTATTGGGCAGAACTAGAGGAAGTTCTTATCTACTGGTTTCTTTTTTTTATTAGAAAGTTATATGATCTGTTGAAAATAAGGGAGGATTCTGTAACATTTAGAGTTTGAAGATTGTGAAGGAAGCTTGAAAGAGAGAAGAGAAAGTTCATCAGTAAATACAGGATTGCCAGACAGGTTGAAGTTGGAGATCATGAAATTATGGTGCTACCATTCTGCTCTGCTTTTTTCTATCCATCTCTATTTGTCTGGAACCTTTGTTCACCAGCAGCCTTCCTAGTTTTTGGAAGAAGGGAAGGCATAGTTACATCCATTGCATAGTCAGAACTATAGGCTCTGTTAGAAAGATCAGCATGACAGCTCCCACCTGCAATTTCCTCTCCTCCCCCTACCATTCAGCTAAGGCAGTGGACAGGAAGCAGTCCACCTGTAAGTGTGAGAGATGCAATTGTCTGTGATGGTTTTTACCCACATCTCTTTATTCAGACTATTTGTTCATTCATTGATCTGTCCAGCAACGTTTATTTTACACCTTCTACTATGTTCCAGTCACTGCATGACAGGTACATTGGTAAATAAGACACGGGCCTGCCCTCAACTATTAACTATTCCAGGCTGGAACTGAGTTATATAAACAGAGAATTACAATGTACTCCAAGGGTTGTTGAAGAGCTACTGGGACACAGAAGAGAGAGCAACTGAAATGAGAAATTTTATAAAATTTCATGTCATTCCCCGGCAGTCTTAATGTCTCCTTCAATACTAAAATATCTGCACATAAAACAAGAATTTTTTTAAAGACACTGAGACAAAGTTAATACCTTTTGTGTTTTCTAAGGTATTTAAAGATCATGCAATTGATGGAGAAACTTTGCCATTACTCACAGAGGAGCATCTTCGAAGCACTATGGGGCTAAAGCTAGGGCCGGCACTAAAGATCCAACTGCAGGTATGGTGATTTTTCATAGCTATCTATTAGATATCTATTAATGGTATGAAGCGTAAGAGGAATAGGTTACTTTCCTCCTGTTGTGATATTCATAATACCTATTTAACCTCTTTTCCCCTCTTTGGGTGGGAGCATAATAGAAGTGAGGGAACCTGAAATCACTGGAATGGGGTGGGAGCACACATTCCTAGGTAGAGTTGGGAAGGCGCAACGCCGTGGTGTGCTAGCGAATGCTTAACAACCAGCTCACTTTAAAAACAAAATGAACCCAGATGTGTAGCATCTGTCAATTTCTGTGGTGTAAATACTCACACCGTGGCTGACAGACTCTTAATGCAAAGTCACTGGATGCAGAATTGGGAAGAGATGGACAGCAGCATCCCATTTTAGAGTGCCACGTGGAGAGAAGAGACACAAGCGACCGCAGCAGCAGAGATAATCCTGAATGATAAGAGGATTAGGTAAAGACAGTTAAGAAGTGATGAGTTTTAGGTATTTATTACTTTAGTTCCCAATATAATATTTTAAATTGTAAGTTTATATAATTTAATTTTTTATTACAGTTTGCATGCAATATTATAACATAATGTATTTACTTGTAAGTTTGTAAAATTTAATTTTTAACAATAGCATATTTCACAACTGGCTTGCAAACTCCCTAAAAATGCAACAATTGACTCTCAGGACAAGCCAGCTCCAGCGCGCCACTTCTCACCATCTCCACCGTTCATGCGGGTCTAAGGCACTGTCATCTTTCATTGGGTTCCTGCATTCGCCTTCTAACTGTTCTCCCTGCTCTGCCCTCGCCCCGCCAGAGCCTAGTCACAAAGCAGAAAAGGATTATTCTTCCAGTACAGTCATGCACAGCTTAACAATGGGGATGCTTCTGAGAAATGTGTCCTCAGGCAATTTCACTGTGCGAACACCATAGAGTGCACAACACAAACTGAGACGGTATAGCCTACTACACACCTAGACTATATGGCACAGCCTCTTCCTCCCAGGCTACAAGCCTGTACAGCATGTCATTGTACAAAACATGGGATGAAATCAAGCACATGAGACAATGGTACAATCAGGAAACTTGGCAAACATGAGATGCATGAGGTTGCTGCCACCATAACAAGGGCATACAGTTTTACAGGAAACTTTTTTTCTATAAGAAGAAACAATACACTCTAAAATAATGCCAATATTGTGGGTTCAATTCCCGGTCAGGGCACATACAAGACTCAACCAATGAATGCATAGTAAGCAGAACAACAAATCAATGGCTCTCTCTCTCTCTCTCTCTCTCTCTCTCTCTCTCTCTCTCACGTCAATCAATAAATAATTACAAATAATGATAAAAATATAGTATAGTAAATACATAAACCAGTAACACAGTCATGTATTACCATTATCAAGTATTATGTACTTTACATAGTTGTATGTGCTATAATTTTATACAATTGGCAGTGCGGTAGGTTTACACCAGCATCACAAACGAATGAGTAATGCAACATGACAATGGCTATGACATCACTAGGCAAAAGGAATTTTTCAGCTCCATTATAATCTTATGGGACTGCCATTGTATATGTGGTTTAATATTGACTGAAACCTTTTGTTATGCAGTACCTAAGACAGACCATGTTATTCTTCTGCTCAAAAGTTTGCAATATCTCCCCATCTCCTTCAGAGTACAAGCCAAAGTTCTATTCATTTGCACTCCTCCCTACCCACCACCACCCTCACCTTCCTCATTCATCTACTTTTCTCCCCCACAGTTACTGCTTCTGCTCACACACCTCTGGATGCTACTTCAGCATCTAGGCAGGCTCCACTATAGGGCCATTCTCTCTACCTGGGATGCTCTTCCCTCTGATAGACTCATGCTTTGCTCCCTCTACCTTCTCAGTGAGGCTTTGCTCTGAACACCCTACTTAAAATTGCACACAGCCCAGCTCATGCATACTACCCTCCCTTTTTTCTGCTCTTTTTTCCCCTCATACTAGTAGCACCTAACACCTGCAATCATACAATATAATTTATTTATTGGTTATGTTAATGTTCATTGTTGATTTCCTTCTGCCCCCATAGAATTATTAAAAGGCTAATGCAGGAATCCAGTGAGAGCAGAGATCTTTATTTGCTTTGTTGACTCATGTATCCTTAGAATATGCAAGCTCTGTAACAGGTAGAAAATTATTTGTTGAAAGAAAGAGTTTCCATGAAGCATCAATTAATTCTTCCCAGAATTTATACTGCATTATAGGGCATCTTTTTATACTGCATGTTTATGCCAGGAACTGAGATTTCAAAATGTTCTTCAAAAGCCATTTTTATCTGCCAAAAAATGTTAAGGTAAAGAAGTTCGTTATTTATAATGCAAATGCTTTCATATTTTCATTGTTATTCTTTTTTAAATGTCTTTTATGAAATAATTTTAGATACAGAAAAGATGCAACAATGGAACAGAGTTCACTCAGCTTTTCCTAATGTTAAAATCTTACATAATGTAGCACATTTGTCAAAATTAAGAAATTAACAGTGGTAAAATATGGTATTCACTTTTAAGTGATTTCTTTTTTGGTGAGGATGCTTTATTTCTTGGCATACTTAAATGACACTACACGGTTTTTACTTTGGCTTTGATTTATTCCTTTGGATTTTTTTTTTTACAATGTGGCCAACTCCAAATCACCCTAATCTTCTCCTTACTTGCTGTTAGCATTGCCCCCTATATCATTTTCAGGAGGCTGTGCTCGGATCTGGTATGCATAAGTGCTTCCATGAAGCCCAGCTGAGCTGTTAGAGCCATGTCCCATCTGCCAGCATAACAGGACAGGGCTTCCATAGAAGCTGGTAGGAGGGCCTGGGAGTGGAGGTCCAGCTGATCCCAGACATTCAACCAAACAGGATGGTTGTAGAGTCATTGGGATTGGGAATGTCCAGGGGTCCAACTGAAGCAGCAGAATTGAAAGATTCTGAGTAAACTCTGGAAGACCTAGGAGATGAGCAGGCAGGAGTTCCTCAGACAAGGTATCTTGGTGGATAAGATAAAGTCTCAATCTCCAAAATGGGAACCACAGGCAATATTCCATTATGGAGAGCCTGCTAAGAAGGAAACCCTTTCTCCAGAATAGAGGCTTAGAAGGTGCACCTGAACTGAGCAGGAAAGTGGTAGGAGGAAAAAAGAATTACTGGTATTTGAGAACTCAAATAGTATTAGCATGGAGGATGCTGGGTTTGAGCTGTGACATTGTGAACAATATAGAATCTCCTGGGTCCCGTTCAGGATCAGGTTTGTGTAGGAGCCCAATGGTTCGTGTTGGGCACTAACTGTCGTAACAGCTCCATTTCTTTCTCAACACTAAGTCAACGGAAGGCCAGCTGTGTGCTGAGGTTGTCCAAAGAATTCCAGCCTTTAGCCAGGAGAAGGACCAGCTGGGTGTTGGGGAAGGGGTGCCTGTGGGACCTCTTGTGAGACCATTGAAAAGGGAGAGGTGGAGTGAACTCAGAGTGAAATGATTATGTGTACAGAGGAGCCACAGCAGAACTAGGAATGGGAATTGGAAAGTTGCTACCACCTTGATAGCCAGTTTTACAGCAGTGACCACTGTACGAATCTGAGAGAAAGAAAAAGGCCACTGTGTCCTAGAATCGTGTCCCCCACAACGATATCGATGCCCGTGCCTGAAATTACCGCAGCCTCCCTGCCTCTGTGGCCAATCACAGTATGCTGGGCTATGGAAAGAATTCATAGGCTTAATTACCATAATTATTTTGTCTTCAAAGGTATCTCAGCATATGGAAAGTATGTTCTACAAGAAAAGTTTTTCGCTTCCTACCCACACAAAACAAGCATTTGACCAACCAGCAGACACGTCCCCTCTTCTGGATTTTAATTCCTGGGGTGACACATCGGACAGGACCTGTTCCCAGGATATAATAATTCCTAAAGGAATCGAGCGAGACAGTATGAAAAATTAAAACCCTCCAGAAGCAAGAACAGTCTTAGTTTTCCAAAGTCTAGGATATTCTGAAGGGTGTGTGAGGGCTTCCCGGGACCAGGTGGAGGCTGTGGGGGAGAGAACGCCAGCCCTCCCCGAAGTTGTCTTGGGGGAGGCCTTGCCCAAGAGGCTCCCGGACGTGACCTCAGCACAAAGGACTAAAGCCCAGTCCCTGAAAGCCCAAGCTCAATGCAGGAGAGAATGTGCAGACACTAACAGAAGCTGCAGGTGGATGCTTCCTTAAGGAAAACTCTGAAGAAGCCAAAACAGCTGATACTGGGGGTTGGGGAAGTGGGGTGGGGAGGCTCCTTAACCTCTCTTCACTCATTTCCCATCTCCCATCTCCCAGAAACAGACAAAGACAGAAGGAGGCAGAAGAGAAAGAGAAGTACAAATTAGAGAAACAGAAGCTGACCACAAGGCTTCCACCATTTCCCATTGCAGCCTTCCAGGCTTAAAGCCTCTGCTTTAAGGTAGGAAAGGGCAGACATTTCAACCTCAAAGTTCAGAGTCAGCTATTAGTCAGCATTTTCTTTCAGTCTGACATAAAACTATGTTACGACTAAAAATAACGGGCAGGCTCCTCCTTATCTGAGAGGGCCATGAAAAGGCATAATGCCCACCTCAGATTTCAGCCAAGGGGTGGAGTGGCGTTATCCCTGCAGAGCAGGTTTGAACAGGCAGGATGGAGGGGAGAAGATTAAAGTGGCTTTCTGCGCGCACCCTGTGGAGTCCCACTCTTTCAACTTCACACCCAGCAGAGACCCTCTGAAAGGACACACAAGAAACTGACAAGTTTGCTCAAGGCAGGGGGTGGGGGACTCGGTGACTTTAGTCCTGAAGGAGACTTACTACTTACCCTCTTTTTCTTTTTAAAAAAATATATTTTATTGATTTTTTACAGAGAGGAAGGGAGAGGGATAGAGAGTTAGAAACATCGATGAGAGAAAAACATCGATCAGCTGCCTCCTGCACACTCCCTACTGGGGATGTGCCTGCAACCAAGGTACATGCCCTTGTCCGGAATCGAACCTGGGACCCTTCAGTCCGCAGGCCGACGCTCTATCCACTGAGCCAAACCGGTTAGGGCACTACTTACCCTCTTACACATTTTGAATTTCTAACTATGGCAATGTGTTTTCTATTTTTAAAATTTACATTTAAAATAAAGAACCTGTAGTACGCAGCCTCTAAGATGGCCCCCAGTGATCTCTGCTTTCTGAGATTCATGTCCTTATGCGATCCCCTCCTCTTTTGAGTGGGCTGGACCTGACTCTTTTCTAATGAATATGAAAGGCATGATGGGATGTCACTCTGGGGGGTTCTGTCTGGGGTGCTCCCTCGCACTCTCTGGAATACTTTCTCTTGAAGTAGCCTCTCGGCAGCCCCATAGAGAGCCCCATGTGACTGAACTCGGAAATGGATCTTCGGAGGGCTGCCAACAGCCACAGGAGGGAACCTGAAGGTGGCCCCTCCCAGAATCAAGCTTTGGGATGACTATACATACAGCTCCTGCCCACAGCTTGAATGGCATCCCTGAGCCAGAAGCCCCCAGCTTATCTGCTCCCGGATTCCTGACACATAGAAACTGTGAGATAATAAATCTGTGTTGTTTTCCACCACTAAGTTTTGGAGTAATTTGTTTCATAGCAATAGATAACTAAAACAAACAAATTGCACTGGTAAACATATACAACATGCTGTGCACATTGGAAGAAATCAGGCTTTTGGAGAGTGTGGGCTTTTTTCTCTGATTTGGAGAGTGGGTTCTTGAAGTCATTCCACTATAAATCAATCTAATTTAGTTGAGCTTTTCTTTCCTTTATCTTTTATATAATAAAAGAGAAACATGCAAATTAACTGTCCCTCCGCAATGCCCACAAGCCACACCCACCAGCCAATGAGAGTGGTACGCAAATTAACCCGACAAAGATGGCGGGTTAATTTGCATACACAGGCACTGGACAGCCGGGGGCAGGGAGGTACTTCCCCCACATTGCCATGGCGATGCGGGGAAAGCTCCCGCCTCTCTAGAGTGCATCCGGGGGTGCTGGCGGAGGTTCTCACTCCGCAGCCATTTGCGCGCGTACCAGCGCCAAAAGGCCTGTGTCCCCAGGACAGGCATCCTCAGGAGCCAGGCCACCCTGAGCCTTAGGCCCGCACCTAGCCCTGAAGCAGCAGGGTCCCGGAACGTGACAGGGGTGCACGTCGGGCTGAGGGGACTCCCCCCCACCCCACCCCCCCCCCGTGCATGAATTTTGTGCACTGGGCTCCTAGTTTTTAATATAAAAAAGCAGGTTTTTCCCAATGTAACATTATATTATACTATCAAATATGCATATGACTTGCTTGTTTACTCTCTCTGGAGACACACATACACACATAGACACACACACAGAATCCCTCCAAATTTTAAAATTCTAAGAAGTTTTGTCACATGACCTTTCAACTGCTATAATTCCCAGCATACAGAAGTTTCACAAGAAACTGCTGTATACCAAATGTAAGTTAACAGATGCTATGGTGTGGATAAAAAGAGAAGCTTAATTAGTATTTTTAGAGGCAAAGAAGTCATGTGGTTCAGTCCATATGATGGCTTTTGAATTTGTTATTCCTGCTAAATGAGTCAATTGAGCTGGTAACTGATTCACTTGAACAGATGTGTCTCCTTGTTGCTCTAAGAAAATATTCTGATATGCCATCCTGGCATGTACCATCACCAAAAAAAGCACTGTGATTAATTTTAGGTCGTGCATAAAAAAGGACCAGGGACACACGCAAAGGAGGCTCTCCCCAGCTCTCAGCACTCTTCTTTGGAAGAAAGGGAGATTGAAATGGCTTGTCACACTAAGATGCTTTCTTCCCAGGTTAATGACTGTAAGATATCTTTTGACAAAAGACCCACCTTAGTAACAAATGATTTTGGAGGGTGAAAATTTCACTCCTATGGAAGTAGTCTTTAACTTTTCCACAAATGCTACTTTAGTCCTGAGCATACTCTGTACCCCTTTGAGAATTAAACAACAGCAATGCCAACAACAACAAAAATCTCTCTCATGTTTGAAAACCAAACACAATAAAACCGTGTTTGCTAAATAGGGTCTTCTGACTTATAAAATATTCTGTTTAGACAGATTGAATAAACGTGTGTGTGTGTGTGTGTGTGTGTGTGTGTGTGTGTGGACCATTATGCCTATTTCCTCTATGGAAGTATTAGAGCTATTAAAAAGGAGTAATAGAATTCAAATATTACCATTTTTGCACCTTTAAAAAATACAGGATCTAGACAATGATCATAAATGGTTGCTGACATCACAAAAAGAGAAACAACCACACATTATATGCCTCCTGATGAAAGACTTATGAAATAGAAAAATCCAAACTCTGAGAAAATCAGATAATAGCAAAAATTACCTGATTTTCTTTAACAAATAAATTGCAAGGAAAAACAAAGAGAGGAAAAGGAAAACCAGTAGATTAAAGGATATACTAAAGATTCAAATCACCCAGAGGTAAAAGTTTTGGAAATAGGAGCGATAATGGTTGCACAACATTGCCAATGTAATTAATGCCACTGAATTATACACTTGATAATAGTTAAAATCACAAATACTATATAATAAAGAGTTAATATGCAAATGGTCATCACACCCTCACACCGTCACACCCTCATGCCATCATGCCATCACACCGTAACTGTTCAGACACTCAACACTGGGGAGAGAGGAATGGGGACCAGCCAGGCACAAATGAGCTCTCAAGAGAGGAATAGGGACAAGCCAGGCCACGGCACGGGAGAGGGACAAGCAGCCCGCCCTCCAGTCTCAGGTGCCTGCGACTGCACCTGCGCCTGTGGCCCGGGAGAGGGATAAGCCGCCTGCCCCGCATTCCCGGTGACTGTGGCTGCGGCCTCGGTGAAGCCTCCCACCCATGGTCCCCTGTGGCTGTGGCCAGCCTGGGCAAAGCCGGCCCGGGTCCCGGGTGCATGCGGCTGGCCAGAGGGAGGGAAGTCCAGGTCCCAGGTGCCTGTGACTGGCCAGAGGAGGGAATCCTGGGTCCCAGGTGTGGGGCAAGGCAGAGGCGGTTAGGGGTGATCAGGCCAGCAGGGGAGCAGTTAGGAGCGATCAGGCCGGTAGGGGAGCAGTTAGGGGCAATCAGGCAGGCAGGCAGAGGTGGTTAGGGGAGATCAGGCAAGCAGAGGGGTTAGGGGCGATCAGGCAGGCAGAGGTGATTAGGGGTGATCAGGCAGGCAGTCAGAGGGGTTAGGGGCGATCAGGCAGGCAGGCAGGCGAGCAGTTAGGAGCCAGCGGTCCCAGATTGAGAGAGGCAGTCGGACATCCCCCGAGGGGTCCTGGATTGGAGAGGGTGCAGACTGGGCTGAAGGACCCCCTCCCATGCACGAATCTCATGCACCAGGCCTCTAGTTTTATAATATATATGTAGATATAGATATTTACTACAATAAAACATTTTAAAGATTCAAGTCACCCAATATAAATATTTGGATGCCTATTGAATGTACTGTAAAAAATGAAACAATTGGAGAAATTTGAACACAATTAGAAATATTCAATTCTATTAAAGAATTATTGTATTTTTAAAAAATGTGATATTAGTATTTTGGAGGATTTTTTTTAATTTTGGTAAGAACTTTAACATGAAATTTTTCCTCTTAATTTTAAGTGCACAATAAAATAGTGTTAACTGTAGGAACAATGTTGTACAGTAAATTCTCTAGAACCTTATTCATCTTACCTACAGTTTTTTTTATATATATATACTGTGCACGGGGGGGGGGGTCCCCCAGCCCGGCCTGTGCCCTCTCGCAGTCTGGGACCCCTCAGGAGATAATGACCTGCTGGCTTAGGCCTGCTCCCAGGTGGTAGAGGACGCGCCCAATCCCTAAGTGCAGCCCCTGATCAGGCTCAGAGCAGGGCCGATTGGGGAGTTGGGGCGCCGCCCCGTCATGCACAGAGCAGG